GCTGCCTTTCTTCTTCCCCCGCGCAGACCTGCGGGGTTTTTCCCCTTCCCCAGAAACCTTTGAAGAGGATTTGTAACACCAGTGTGGGGTTTAAATAGCCTAGAAGCAAAGGGTGGGATGGTCAGGAAGAGTCCCTGGAGACGTCACCTAGGAAAAAAAGAGATTTCCCTTGAAAAGAGATTCCCCTTGGCTGTGTAGGTCCCTGCGAAGCCCTGCCAGGTTGTGAGGGTTGATCTCCTTCAGCTCAGCCAGGCACTGGGGTGAGATCTGGGCTGTCCAGCCCCCGAGGGCTGCGGCGCTGGAAACACCAGGTCTTCAGGTCCAAAAGCTTCTGAGACGTCTCGTGCTCATGGTCACCCTGGGGGTGCATTGGGAGCGGCTGGTCCTGCTTTTCCTGGTGACAGGGTGTTTCTGCTGCGTGCCTGGGTCGTTCCCGTTGAGCCCAGCCTTGACCTTTACCCGGGAGCACACGCACGGCGGCTCTTGCAGAGCTTGCAGGAATTGGGGTTGGAAATCAGGAAGCGAGCCGTGATGCTGGGTCTCGTGCCCGCAGAAGGGCGAGTCCTGCCGTGAGGCTGCGGCTCCCCAGCCCCGCGGCCGGGGCTCAGCAGCGGCCCGCCCCCTCCCGTGAGGCTGCGGCTCCCCAGCCCCGCGGCCGGGGCTCAGTCCCCCGTCCGACGGCAGCGGTGTCCTCGCCCTGGGTTCGGGGGATGAGAGGTGAGTTCTCCTGCCGTATCTCTGCTGGCGTGAGGACACCTGTGTGCCGCGACCCCCAAGCTGAGACCCAGGGAACTCATTTCCCCTGTGCCCCCGTCTGATGCCCAGGTTGTCCCTTGTTAACGTACCTTAATTAACACTTACCGTGTCCTTCTTCATTCCCTTCTAGGAGCAGTGAAGTGCCTGACCCCCGCGCTGCCGCCGTCCCAGCCTGCCCGTTCGCGGCCCTCCCTGCCTGATGGAGCCAGCGCTGGCAGAGGTCCCTCCTCGAGGCAGCCGGCTGAGCCCGGTGCGGGAGCGCTAGTGGGACTCGGACGGTGGCGTGTGCCGCCCTAGGAGGGGCGATGGCTCAGGGCACCGGGAGCATCAACAGTGACTACAAGGATTGGGAGTGGAGCGCCGATGCCGGGGAACGGGCCAGGCTCCTGCAGAGCCCCAGCGTGGAGACGGTGCCGAAGAGCGGAGAGAGCCAGGGAAACGGTCTGGGGGCCACGTCGGCTCTGGGAGCCGTCTTCATCGTGGTCAACGCTGCCCTCGGGGCCGGGCTGCTCAACTTCCCTGCCGCCTTCAGCATGGCCGGCGGCGTGGCCGCGGGCATCGCACTGCAGATGGTGAGAGGGTGGGGGAGGGACAGTCCCTTGTCCCACCCTGGGAGGGGACGGG